TAGAGTGCAGAAGGGCTCTGTCTTACCTGCCCTGGCTCCGTGTTACTCCTCCGGCTGCTCTCTGCACCGCTCCTAGGCCCCCAGCGCCCTTAGGTGGAGTGCCTGTAGAGCGGCAGCGGAGGGAGGGAACGGTGTGGCGGAGGCAGAGGTGCCCGTAATAAAAAATGTTTTCCTTCTGGATCTGATTCTAGCCCTGCCGGTGGCACCCCTCCTGCTGCGGTGTCCTGGGCACATGCCCCTCCTGCCCCTAGTTTCAGCCCTGCCTGTGGCTGTCAGAGTTGTGCAATGCCTCCATGGGATTTGTAGTTTCACCACAGCTGGAGGGCCAAAGTTTACTTACCCCTGCTATAGAGTGTTGCTTGAGTGACAGCTCTGAGTCCGTGATTGCTGACATCAAATCCAAGATGGCAGCACCCAGTAACAGTCTCAGGGCTTTTCAATGTCTACACAAGGGAGCCTTTCACTGGTTAATAACATGCCTACATTATATTAAAAGCGAAATTAATCCTATGGGTAGGTTGTTGTTGAAATAAATGGTTAGGTGACAGGGTCTTTAAATCTCAAAATGTTTCACTTTATGGCTTGTAGTTTGTAGCTGACCTGTAACCCAGACCTTCCTCTTTTGTATAGGATGCTTCTAATCTTCCAAAGTAGAGCAAAATGGAAAGAAAACATCAAGTTGGCAGAAAGAATAGCAGCTGGAATTGTCTTCTTCTGCTCCTAATCCTACTTATCTTTACTGTGGTGTGCATTAACCTAGTGCTCTATGTGTACCTAGAACATGTCTATGTGTCTACTGGATTCGGTCATGGGGATCCCAATGCCTGTCCCCAAGGCTACTTCAAGATTGGAGCAATGAGGAACTGCTCTGCCTGGTTGACCTGCGGGGCCCTTGGGAAGGAGGTCCGCAAGTTAAAACTTGTGGGAGAAGGAGCAGTGAAAAAGGTATTTCAAGAATTAGCAAATAAATAAATGAATGTAAAAAAACAAAACACAATTGCATGTATTATCCACTTGAATTATAACCAGCTCTGGGATTTCGGTAGTTTGTTTCAGGGCCATTTTAAAACCAGTCATGGTAGCTGTGGCAGGTCCCAATAGATGTTACTGCTGAAACCAAGAAAACCAATGGATCAACATAACAGCTAAGCAACTAGTACTTTCAGAAGGCAGCAATGACAGCTTTCCTCGACCTTCTGGTTACTTAGTCACATCTCGTCCCCTGGGTTATTGCTCCTGCTGATGCTGATTTTTATTTTTTAAAGACCAAATGTAGCTTTGGTACCCCCACCTTAAGCTCCACCCCTCTTTGTATTTTTAAAAGTTCACTTTATACATACTTTAAATCCAGCAGTCTTTTAGTAGGGCAGTGTGTACTTCCCCTTCAAGCCCAGCGTTGGCATTGGGTGATCCTTAGTCCCCGTTCACACCACAGGCATTTGTGACTCGTATTTGTCAGCACAGAAAAGCTCCGCACAAGAAATCCTGTTGATTTCTATAGTCCCCGTTCACGTCTCAGCATAGAAAAAAGCCGGCCCGTGGAAAAAAGTACATGAGCTTCTTATTTGAGCAGATCAGCGCGATTAGGAATAGGAAAAAGGGTTACATCACGCTGATCTCAAAAAGAGGCGCATACTTACAGGCTTGTGGGGAGCTTTTCTGCGCCGCCAAATATGGGCTACAAAAACCGGCGGTGTGAATGGGGACTTACTCCTGCAGGTAATGATGTGTGAGGGCCATTGTGTGCAACAGTACTGCGAACCCAGAGTGGTGTGATGACACACCCAAAGGGGTATGTCCATGACAGCCTGGACTCATAGGTTATGGGTTGAAGAACATTGGGCAACATCCAACCTGGAAGTAAGCTGCTAGGCTACTTTTTTTAAAATAATAATAATTTTGTTTAATAATTATTATTTTTAATAACATTGGAGTTGGATTATGAATATTTGATTCCAGACTGACCGTGAGCCAAACAAATTACAGTCAAAATCTACATTTTTTTACACCTCCTTTTTATTGATGAAAAAAGAGAATTCTTCTAAAACCTGTAAATGTAATAGAAATATTCAGGGATGCACAGAAGTAGAGACTGATCATGGGGAGCGTTTTCTGTTTTGGATTAAGAATCGAGTGATTACCTGGAGCTGTACACCAGAGCTTCACATTGTAAGCTGGTTCTTCTATGATATCACTTTCTACCTCTTTACATTCTGTCCAGGTCTATCAACTCTTTGTTGATGAGGCCAAACAGTCTGAAACTGTTCTTCTTCTAGTATAGGTAAAATGTTGGTCTTGTTTTCCAGGTATACCTGTCGGAGTGGAAAGAGATGAAAGTCGCTCTGTCTCAGCTGACAGTTCTATCTCTGCAAGCTGACTTTCTTCATGGTTTACGGATGCTACAGTCACTACAGAGCAGGCATGTAGTTACACTTGTGGGATACTGTGAGGATAATTACAGTATATTAACAGATTATCATCCATTGGGCTCCCTGAAAAATTTGGATGCTACCTTTAACCTCCCCAAGTACCAGCACTTAAATAACTGGCAAAATCGGCTTGAACTTGCCATAGACTATGTGAGTGTAATCAGTTACCTTCACAGCAGCCCTCTTGGGGTACTGGTCATGTGCGACTCCAATGACTTGGAAAAGGTTCTCTCTCAGTACCTTCTAACAAGTGACTTTCACCTAGTGGCAAATGATTTGGATGCCTTACCTTTGGTGGATAGGGAGAAAGGAATTTTGGTCAAGTGTGGCCAAAGAGAAATTATTGGGGATTTTGTAGCTCCTGAACAGCTGTGGCCTCATGGGCCAGATGTTGAGTACAGCGATGACTTAATGCCACCGTATGATGAGAAGACTGACATATGGAAGATCCCAGCAGTGACGGATTATCTCTTGGGTCACGTAGATGGAAGTGACATTGTTCGGTTCCACTTGTTTGACATTCACACAGAATGTAAAAAGGAAAACCCAGCTATGAGACCTTCTGCTCAGACCATACTGGACTCCTATCGGAGAGTCCTGGCTTTGCTTCTGAAGGAGTTGTCGAATTCAAAAGAAATGTTGTAAAAACAAATTGACTTTACTGTTACACTGGACCTGTTAAGTGTTTTATTCTACACATGTCATAATGCCTTCTTCCTCATCTCAGTCAGTCTTTGTTTTAGGCCCCATTCACACCTATGTTTCGGGGCAGTCTTATGAATTGCTCTGTAAGGCTTACTGGTGCTTATGAGAACAGCTGCAGGCGGGAAGGGCTATACAAAGCAGTGACAGTGCCTGCGGTCGATAGCATATAATAGGACATGTAGCGATTACCTGCAGATAATTACCCTGGGCGCAAACTGCTTATGTCCAGGAGCAATTATCCACAGGCAATTGCTGCATGTCCTATATACATGCGAACTGCTGCAAGCACTGTCAGCTGTCATTCAGGAGCGATTCAGGAGACTGCCTGTGTCCCCATTACATTTTAGAACATGAAATTAATTTTCCAAAAATGACAAAATGTTGCTGGTGTATGGCTTGCTTTAGTCGTCACTCCCTTGCTATACAAAATGCTGCAGAATCTCACTTACCAATCAGTAAGAGAGCAATGCCGTAGCAGCAGGCCACTGTTCTCTCTGCTCTTTTGCTGGTGACTTGCTGCCAGCCACAAGATCACCACTGTGACATGGGCCAGTGCAGTATTGTACATATTGTCGGATAGAATCATGCAGTTTCTCAGGGTTGCCCAATTTCCAGATGTCTGGTAGCTATGACGCCTAAATATTATTATTATTATTATACAGGATTTATATAGCGCCAACAGTTTGCGCAGCGCTTTACAATATAGGGCAGACATTTCAATCAATACAATTCAAGACAAGATGATAAGGAGGGCCCTGCCCCTGAGGGCTTACAATCTAAAAGGGAGGGGGAAGTGATACATGAGGAGGTAGCTGTGTGGGGATGAATTGTTTGAGAACGTGATGGTTGAGTGGTTAGGTTGAGGTGGGATAGGTTTCCCTGAAGAGATGAGTCTTTAGGGATCGCCTAAAGGCAGTCAAGGTGGGCGACAGACGGACAGGTTGGGGTAAAGAATTCCAGAGAATGGGAGAGACTCTAGAGCAGCGGGTTAGTATTAGCTGGTTTTCTAATTCCATTTCTCTTGTTTGCAATAAATCAAAGCACAAATCCCTGGCTCCTTAGAGGGAATTAGTTAGGGCAACACAATGGGAAGCTGCCCCTGCTGATTAAATGTTTAACTTTTTAAAGCATAGGCTTCGGAGCTGCCATCCTTAACTTTGATTCACTATGACTTGGGACATGTAAGTGCATATTACGGGTTCCAGTGTTTTTTTTGTTGCATTTGTTTATTCCAGATCAGCAATAGCAGTTTCTGTGTTGTTCTGACAGGTTTCTTTCACATTTCTCCAATTTCTGTCTGCTTAACTGAACACATGAGATAAATAAAATGATACAGATAAACCACTAACATCAGTGTGAGGAGACATGTTTTCTTATATCCAAACCTTATGATTGTGGAAATGAATTCCTCTTAAGAAAAAAGAAATGTTTTATATAAGAAAGAAGCAACCATTACTTTTTAACAAATTCACAGAGCTAGCAGTCTTTCTGATTTATTTTCACATCACTGAAACCTTATTAACCATAGCATCTCTACTAAGGGTGAGCAAACCTGTCTGGGAACGGTTCAAGCCGGGTTCAGCGAACCCAGTGGGAAGTCTGAACCTCGAACTTAACACAGAACCTGATTAAAGTGTATGGGGACCGAAACGTGCCATCTTGTGATGGAGGATAAAACTATACATAACAGACCCAAATTAGGTCTATAGGGAGTAGGATGTAAGCAGACATGTGTCCGTTTACATCAGATTACCCCCGATTTGTAACGATCAGGTCCGAACTTGGACAAAGTCGGGGGGGTAATTGGGTTCAAACGGCTGCACATCTGTTTAGATCCAGCTGCCCATAGAGTAACATTGGGCTTTCGATCTGATCCACCTGAAAAACTGACAGGTGGCCTGAAAAAGGCCTAAAAAGGATGTGTGTGGTGGGGATTATAGGAATCTTGAAGCCCCCCCTAGAATAAAGTGGCACCCAGGTATCCGCCCCATCCCAGGTGAATAGGTTCTCAGAAAAAAAGACACCATGCGGATGGCTTGGCTTTAGTATTTTCTGTGGCACTGATCCAATCCAAAAACCGGTAGTTTGACATTTCATTGGCTAGAAATGGCAGCCCACATAATCTTCTCATGACGAATGTACTTTCAGCAGCCATTTCTTTCCTCTAGTCACCAATCAGATGGGTGAGTACTGTTACCATGTTTTTAGAAGCAGAGGCAGATGCGGCTCACATGCCGGTGCACACCTTGACTATAATCAGTAAGAATGTTTTTTCATATAAATGCAATATACACCTAGCGATATGTTCTTGAAGCTGAACTCCAGGCAAACAGCTAAATATATAGATGAAATACAGTTAGCTGCTTTACCTGTCAAAGGATTTGCATTTATGTCCATCCACTTCTGAGGTTTACACAGGTCTGCCACACAGCACAGCCCACAAAAGATTCAGGACACAATACAGAGTGGCAGCGGGGTGCCAAGTGCTAGAACTCATTCCAGCACCTGGCACTGAAATAATGCCAATACTGTCAGGTGGAGTGCCTGACAGAGATAGTATAGTTCTGGCCCAATGTCAACAGGGAGAGAGAGGGTATATTTTAACTCAATGACCACCGCTGAAGGAGGGATTAATATTGTTGCTACTGCCCACTAATGGTGGGGGTGGGGGGTAATGTTAGTACCAATGAAGGGGGGTTTAACAGTACTCCTACTGACACCACCAGAGCGTATTTCATTTGACTGTCAATGACCACCAGTGAAGGAGCATTTAGTATTACTGACACCAATGATAAGAAGGTTAATATTACTGCCAATTACAAGAAGGTTAATATTACTGCCGTGGGCTGCCATGGTTTTTTTGGCCCCCACTGACCACAAATAAATGGGGGGAGGGGGGGGGGGCTATTTTTCATTCAGTTGTTCATAGGGTGGTAATTTGTCTCCTACTGACAACCAATGAAAAGGGGCATATCTTGTTTCCACCACTAACCACCAATGAAGGTGTTTACCTTTGCTTCTACTGATTACCAATGAAGGGGAGGATTTTTTTTCTTTCACTGACTACCAGTGAAAGGGGAAGGGGTTATTTTGCTCCCACTGACCACCATTAAAGGGGGGTTGCTCTCACTGACTACCAATGAAGGGGAATTTATTTTTGCTGCTACTGACCACCAATGAAGGGGATGGGGTATTTTTGCTCCCACTGATACCAAGGCTGGTGGTTTGCATTGTGGCCCCTGATATTTTGCTCCCAATTTCACTTATTTCTGTATTTTTTCTAAATCATAGAGAATGTCAAAAGTTACCACACTACAAGCCATACGCTGCAAAGCGACATGCGCTTAATTGGCCCCACCAACATTTACGCATTGTTTGGTGCCACATTTTTCTTATGTTTGCATCAGAGCTGCTTTTCTTCCCATACAAATCAATGGGAATGCAAATTTACCTAAAGTAGCTTGATGTAGCTAAGAAAGATATTAAATGAAGGTCAGAAGGCAGAATTAAAAATGAGCTGAGGCATCTCAAGTAGAGCTGCAGCTAACGATTATTTTCAAAATCGATTAGTTAGCCGATTATTAAGTTCGATTAATCGGTTAATCGGATAAACTATAAAATAAAGTTTAAAAAATGGCTCCAGTGATAGGACTACTAGTTTGTATTGAGGTTGTAGTCCATCACAGGAGCAAGCTTGGAGCGGTGGAAGTAAAAAAGATAGTGTGGTGTGCAATATAGTGAAATGGAAAGTGTAAAATTATACAGCAATACATGCAGAATGGCAACGGCTATAGAGGAATACAACAAATCCCAGCAATAGTACATAATAGTTGGTGGTATTCTGCATTGCGCTGTATAATGTATTATTGCTGGGACTTGTAGTCCTCTATACAGCGCAATGCAGAATATCACCAGCTATAGAGGAGTACAACAAATCCCAGCAATACATTATACATACAGCGTACAATGTATTGCTGGGATTTGTATTCCTCTATAGCTGATGGTACAGGTTCATGCTCTGTATAATATACAGTACAGCAGAATGTACCATCAGCTATAGAGGACGACAAATCCCAGCAATACATTATACAGCACCATGTGGGGGGGGAGTGTAGGCTTACCTGAGCAGTCTTCCAGCAACGTGCTTCTGCGATCGGACCTGTCTATCAGCAGCTGTCATCCCCCACACCTGCTCCTCCTTACTACTTCTCCCCGTGTCCCTGTGCCGATCATGGATGTGGATGGGCAGGAAATGTGAGGCGGGGAGGAGGTGCGGCGTGTGGAGCGTGGATGCGAGCGGGTCTGGCAGTGGCGAGCGTGAGGTGGGGAGGAGGTGCGGCGCACAGCGTGTGGAGCTGTAAACAGGGCCAGCTGATCGGAAGCCGATTAATCGATTATTGGAAAAGTTGACAACTTTTTCAATAATCGATTATAATCGATTATGTCGATTAGTTGTTGCAGCCCTAATCTCAAGCTATATTTGCCCATCTTCAGAGGTGGTCCTCCATGCCTAATGTCAGCAGCTTCCTCCCCATTTCACCTTTCAAACTCTTCCCAAGCATTTTTGATTACTCCACACTTCTCCTTGTCTTCTCTCTGTTCATGTAAAGTTGTGTTGCTGGGAGTAGACCAGGAAGTTTGACATTGTCAGTACAATTACCAGTATGGGAGCCTCTACTTCTGTTGTGACAGGTGTACTTTAAGGTGGTTCCACATATGAGCCTAAAGTATGAAGGCTGCCATTGCTGCTCTTCTTAAACTGTTAGTTGTCTGGCTGTTAGTTGCCTGAGTTCAGTACTTTTGAGTCACTTACCTGGAACAAGCATGTTGTAGTAAACATGTCAGAAAGAGTGTTGTAGTTCCGTATCTGTATAATTTTGATGTCCAATTTTGCAATGACACTAAGGCATTAGCATGACTAGTGATGGGCCGAACACCCCTCGGTGTTCGGTTCCAATTCGAACTTTCGAACATGGAAAAAGTTCTAACTCGAACTTAGAACTCAATGCAACTCTATGGGGGTAGAACTTTTAAAATCAATTGTCCCCTTTAAGAGGGCTTATATGCAAGTTATAGCCCATAAAAGGTGTATGGGGATTCGGGTACTGCCCTGGGGGACAGGAATCAATGAAAAAACAAACCCAAAATATACAGTTTGTAAAGGAGCAGTGATTTTAACATCAATTAAAGAGTAACAATAAAATTGAAAAATTCCTTTTAAATATCGTGCCTGGGGGGTCCCCTTAACATTTTTTTTAAAGCGTGCAGTTCCCCCTCCCAAACAATACTAGACCCTTTAGGTCTCGTAGGAATGTTAGTAGGGACCCCATTTAGAAAACAAATGTGTGGGGTTCCAACCAAAAGTCATACCAGACCCTTACGTTCTGGTAGGAATTTTAAGGAGGAACCCCACCCACAAAAATGGGGGGGGGGGGGGGGAAAAGTGTGGTCCTCTAAAATTCCATACCAGACCCTTGATGCGAGCATAGGCCTGGCAGGGCCGGAAAGGGAGGGGACAAGCGAGCGCCCCCCTCCCTCCCATACCAGGCCACATGCCCTCGGCACTGGGGGATTGCTTTTCCAGGGTAGCCCCTGTAAAAGCACCTTGTCCCCGTGCCGATGGGGACAAGGGCCTTTTCCCCACAAGCCCTGGGGCATTGGTTGTGGGGGTGCAAGCAGATGCCGCCCCCCTTGTGAATGAGCAAGGTGTACTTGTACCCCTACCCATTCACTAAACGGTTAAAAAAAATTGAAATAAAAAGACAGACTTTTGAAAAAAAAATCCTTTTATTGAAAAAAAAAACCAAAGGATTTTGACAAGTTTTTTATTGTTAAACCCCCCCCCCCCAAATGCTCTGATAGTTACCTCCGATACCAGAATTTACCAAGGGAGCATGGAGACGGCTTCCTTTCCAATCAGGAAGCCGAGCGGTGGGTTATGACCCGCCTCCCTGATTGACTAGGAAGCAGGCTTCACTTGTTGCTAGTCAGCCTGGCTTCCTAACTAATCAGGAAGCCAGGAGGCATGTAATGACCTGCCTCCTGATTGGTCAGGAGACCAGGCTGACTAGGAACAGGTGAAGCCTGCTTCCTAGCCAATCAGGAAGCCGGATAATGACATGCTGCCTGGCTTCCTGATTGGCTAGGAAGCCAAGCTTTCTACCAACAAGTGAAGCTGGCTGCCTACCAACAAGTGAAGCTGGTTTCCTAGCCAATCAGGAAGCCGGGAGGCAGTTATTGACATGCCGCCCAACTTTCTGATTGGCTAGGAAGCCGACTTCACTTGTTGCTAGGCAGCCTGGCTTCCGCCGGACGGCACCTCATGACCCTCCGCCCGGCTTTTTGATTGGTGAGAAAGCCAGGCAGCTTCTTTCATTAGAACACTGGCTTCCCAGGCAATCAAGAAGCCGGCCGACGGGTCATGATCTGCCACCCAACTTCCTGATAATCGGGGCACAAGGCCCCAGTATCGGTACTCGGCGAGTACCGGAAAAAAAATATCAGTACTCGTACTTGATACCGGAAAAAACAATATCGGTGCATCCCTAGTTATTAGTATTTTCTCGTGGGTGTAATGGAATTCTTTCATGTAATTAGAGTGAATTAGGAAAATACCACATTATGGCCACTAGATGGAGACCAGGAACCTAAGAAATAAATACTTGTTTCCTGATATCCTCAGCGCCATCTAGTGGCCATAATGGGGTATTTTCCTCATTTACTCTAATCTTATAAAATAATTTTTCAACCTACAAGGAATAACATTCGTTATCACCCCATTCGCACAGAACCAACATACAGTAGTTTGTCAGGACAAATGGCTCTGTGTTTTATAAATACACCAAGTAGTGTACGGGCAGCTCTAGAAATATGTGAGGCACGGTAACGTTCCTTTATAAATAGACCCCTAATGGCCAACTGACATTTAAGGCCAAGTTGACTTTTAATAGAAAGGAAAGATAATTAAAGGGAAGCTGCCAGTGCTAAAAATCGGGCGTTTGTGTGACCTATGACAAGCTGCATCAACTTGCAGTCAGCTCAGGAGCGTCAGTCAACAATAGCTAGTGCTACGCCTACGCGTTCACGGAAGGAAAAGCAGGCATACCGGAGCTCGTCGCTGCAAGCTCCCAGTAGGGCAAGCAGCTGCAGTCAAGTTGGAGCTCGGGGGCGCGCACGGTAGCACAGTGCGCGCATAATAGAGAAGGGCTGGGAAGCCGAAGGGGTATGTGCACACGCTTGCAGGGAACAGTAGAAGGACAGAGTGCTAAACTGGGGGGTACTCACACACTGGAGCTCGGGTGTGATCCTAGCTACAAATAGGAAGGAGGGGCGGCGCTAGTAAGTCATATGACACGTTCTGAATATGTGTAAATACTGAGAACACGACAGTGTTGTGCAATGCAATGCAGTCCTCCCAGCTGAGCTGAGCTAACCACAGGGGGTGGAGGGGGGATTGTCAGTACTGGGGAGCCCTGGAAAGCAGGGAGGTGGTAAGAAAACGGAGGGGGAGGAGAAGGAAGCGCTGGAAAAACCACACCGAGGAGGAGAGCAAAGGTGACAGCGGAAGAACGATGGGGTCGGCGTGGCCCACCTGCGCCTCTACCTTCTGCTTGTCCTTAGTGTCAGTCCTCAGCCTCATCCTCCTAGTCAGCTGTAGCAGCTCTGCCCTGGGCACCCGGCATGGAGAAGGTGAGGGATCGCCACTGGGATCACCAGTTATCTTCATTAAATTCAGTTTTACTGGTTTG